TCAATTTTATGGTATTTTGATTTAACTAAATGATCTTAACGCATGATAGAGCTGTGAAGATGACTATGCTCTAACGTCCCGCAGTCTATCATTAGGCAGTATGTATAATATATAAGACAATAATTTACGTATGTCATGTACCAATATCAATCTTGCTCATACATTACTCAAACGGATTCTGGTCGTGAGTTTTAGTGAGTTCCCGATATTTGAACACGATTATTGCAAACGTCATGTTCACGGTTAAACTGAAGGTTGCCGGTGAGATTTTAGAACCAGGCGAATCTGTCTACCCTCTTTCTACCATAAATTACATTTGATGCTAAATTTAAAAATCGGATACAGAATCCACCTACTAAAAACTCCTTGTACATCATCAGGGTTCAATAAGAAAGCACATTAATTTGGTCGGTTGCCGTTTGGTGTTCATTCCAAAAGATTTAATCCCCCATTTTGACATTGATATAGCTGTTATTAATATACAACGGCATCTACGGCGCCAAACAAAGATCCACCATTCGTCCGACAAAGGTCATAGAATAATAATTAAATATATGTCGGAAAAGCCACAATTATTAACACCATCGTCAGACATCATAGAGGCGAATAGGGTGATCAAGCTTAGCAGATGAAACGTATGACAGTTCTTAGGACGGAGGCACCGCTCTTCAAGAAGGCTGGTTGATAGGCGTGATGGCGTCTACGCGCTTCCATCGGCAAGGCTCTGTCGTAGCACGAAGTTAGCCGAGCTCGAGGGAATCGTGCTGCATTTCGTTTAGGTACTAAGCTAATGACCGTCTCCGACATATATTATAGTGTTTTGTTTTTAAATTTAAGTTGAGTTTAAGAATTAAGAAAAAAATACAATTAAACAGAAAACCAAACATAGATTTACGTAATCAATTCTTGTACGGCTTTAGGTGTTAAGCCAAAATAATAAAATATAGTATAGTGTTTGATATTATACGTGTGCAAAATACTTTCCGTGTTGTCTTGCCGGATCTTCCGAATCCACTATTGGCGTTTTAGGCCCATCAAGCCGTTCTCGCCAAACTTTTAGTTTAATTTAATTAGTTTTTTTTTAATCCTATATTTTGTTTTTCTTGTATCTTATAGTTAGTATTTTAATAAAAACTAGAGGTCCCGCAGTAGTCGAAATTCGACTATAATTAATTGGAATTGTAAGTTTGTACACTATTATGATTGTATTTTATACTTCTATAATCACAAATTTCGCCACTTTAAAACACTAAACACTTTAAAAAAATATTTAATCTATTCTCAATTTGACCACAGACGTCAAGAACAAAGGTTTGGTAAAAAAAAATTGTATGCATGCGTGTGTGCGTCAAATACATGGTATGTAGTATGTGTAATGTTTTCTTTATTGATTTAATGTATTTTATATGCGTTGTTTAAAACAAATATTAGCATTGTGCACTTCTTCTCTATATTCTCTATAAGTGTGGAAAATTTCATACTCCTCCGTCCGCGCAATTTTCGTAAAAAGGGATACAAAGTTTTTGCTTCACGTATTAATATATAGATTCCGGTCTTAATTTAATACATTAGAATTTTATTCTATGCGATAATTATGTCACAAATTTCATTGTTCTTCATTCAAATAACACTGTTTACGTGTTTCCCTTGAAATACGGACTAAGCCTGCTAATTTTTAAGGTGCATTTTCATTTGTCTCGAAAAATTCAGGCTCTACAAGGGTCAGAATGTATTGTTGAGGCGCAAAGGGCGAAGTTTAAATGAGGCGTGGGCGGACGGAAAGGACTCAACGTTTGTCATATTATTTATGAGGTCCTCAAATAGAATGTAGTAGGTATAACGGCATTTCGTACAGTTCAGGATTATTTGTTAGTAAATTTAAGATGTTATGGTAAATTTTTGTGGTTTTTATAAGGTGTTCAAACTTTAACTAATTTGTAGCAACATTTTCGAACACATTCGAAGTCGTCGTGGCCTAAAGGATAAGACGTCCATTGCATTCGTATGTAGCGATGCACCGGTGTTCGAATCCCGCAGGCGGGTACCAATTTTTCTAATGAAATACGTACTCAACAAATGTTCACGATTGACTTCCACGATGAAGGAATAATATCGTGTAATAAAAATCAAACCCGCAAAATTATAATTTGCGTAATTACTGGTGGTAGGATCTCTTCTGAGTCCGCACGGGTAGGTGCCACCTCCCTGCCTATTTCAGCCGTGAAGCAGTAATGCGTTTCGGTTTGAAGGGTGGGGCAGCCGTTGTAACTGTACTGAGACCTTAGAACTGATATCTCAAGGTGCGTGGCGCATTTACGTTGTAGATGTCTATGGGCTCCAGTAACCACTTAACACCAGGTGGGCTGTGAGCTCGTCCACTCATCTAAGCAATAACAAAAAAAAATCATTGATAAGACTGGTTGATTTATATGAAAACAATTCACGGAGAATTACCTTCTAAAAACCATTCATGTTTGAAAGGTACTCTTACTATTAAAATCAACGTGTGTACATTACATGTCGTGGATTATTTTGTATTACATAACTAAAGTATCTAATTTTCTTCGATTTTCACGAGTCGTAATCACCATTAAAACCACATAATTTTAAGGTTTCATCTCGGGGTCACGGATGACTTTCGTTCCGGTCGTCGTCCGTGAGTGACCACGAAAACTGTAAAGCTTCCGAAACGTCGGAAATAATATCGTGACAAGAAAAAACGCTAGGCTTTAACCGTAAAACTAAAGTATATTAAAATTGTTAATCGCTTTTGCCCCTTTAAGCCCCCTAAAGACAACCAGGCTGGAAGCGATGGATAGTGATGATTGAGATAAACTCCACCGTAATAACGAGTACGCAGCTTTTTATAATAATATTTAAAATAAACAATAATAATGATTAAAAAAATCCATATTATACAGAATGCATGCAGTCCTCCGCCAACCAAACCCCACACGGGTGCTTCCGGCTAATGACACTGGATAAACGACGTCACATCCGGTTAGCTGTGCGCTCGACTGCGCCTCACTAATGCCCGTGGATAATAAATAATGTTCCTCCGAGCTTAGAATTTGACAATACTTAAGTATTATTACATGCCAGCCATTCACGCCCTCAACTGTTACTTCTGTTTAGCTAAAATCGAAAACGGTGACCACACGAAAAGTCTTCCAACGATGAGCCTTGGACTAGCTGGGTGAGAGGTGCTTTATCTTAGGTCCCGAGTGATCTGAATCAGAAAACGTTAGAATTTAGGTACCGACTTACCTTCCCACGAAATCTAACGCGATACGAGTTGAGAGGGCGCCTTCCCAGACAACTGAGACAAACAAAGCTATGGAGCACACTTGCCTTTGATTAGGGAACACCGGCCAATCCACGTGCACCAGTTAATTCATAAAATAACGACATACGTCAAAGGAAATCTCCGTAGCGTTCTAAATGTAAACTTTTCAATTCGCACTCATAGGAAAGCTATAAAATAAGAAAATAAAGGGAAGTTGGCACATTAAGCCGAGCGTAATGGCTTCTCAAACATAATTACAGTCACAACGTTAATTTGACTTGAAACAATGAAAATATTAGAGTTGCCAGCCTATGAGAATTTAATTAATATATAGTTTTGCCGTCAAGCTTTAAAGAAACTAGTGATACAACTATGTCGAAGTTCAAATCCCGCTAGCAGATATTAATTAACTCGCACGTATTCATGATCAATTTGCACAATGGATTTATTCATCCTGTAATTTATTGCCGTGTTAATAATGAAATTTGCAAAATCGATAAATTTTCGAAATCGCTCATGGTATTTGATAATCGTAAGTAAATAGGGTATGTTATGAGTTCGCCCTCACTATATACCAAAGGAATTCCAAATTCCTAGGTAGCATGATAAGAGACATGCTTCGCCGAGCCCGCATCAGGAAGATAAGGTCATGACGAAGATTGGGAGTATCGTGCCTCAAAATATCGCAAGACAGGCGTGCCCCGGTATGATGGATGAGGCAGCCTACACGCTTTAGGGGAGTCGTTTAGTGGGTGGGCCCTAAAATTCCTTGGGCCCGCGGTCTGCTCTCAACACCTGCAGATCGTCGAGTCCCACATACCCCGCGTGCCCCCTAGGCGCGGGGACCTCGAAGGAGGTTCGGCCCCCGGCTCAAAAAAAAAAGCCTACACGCTTGTATCTATACGCTCCGCTAACAACTTAACATCGGGTGGGCAATGAGTTCGTTTACCCATTGACTATAATAAAATACACTATCACTTTTCACTTAATTAGAATAATTAATGTCTGTGATATTAAGATGGAGTGGAACATTTAACAGGCAACACTGGAAAACTGCAATAACGACCCACGAGAAAAATAATTAAAAAGAAAACAAAATGGCCTCTTTTAATGACCTCTCCGAGCGTGAACGATCTAAATGTTTCAACTTTAGTATTTAATTCGTTCCCATTACGGAGTCGAATGTGACTTGAGAAATGAACCGATCTGATGTACTTTCAAAATTTTGTTGGGAAATGTTGAAACGTATACGGCTTAAAGCAAGAATAAGTCGGATTTGAAATTATTACAATGCATATACTGTGGTATACATATCACTTAACATCCTCGAAGTTGAATAAAAGCGATTTTTTTTGAATTAGCAGCTATGATTTTAATAATAGTAGATCAAATCTATACTAATATATAAATCTACAAATGGTTTTTACGGATGTTCCGTTATAACTACTTAACCATGCGCCCGATTGACTTGAAATTTGGTATCCATGTAGAAAATAAATGGAAGGAAAAATGCTAATATTTATATGAGTGTCCCTAATAATAATGACATAGATAATAATGTTAATTTTAAATACCCAGCGAAGCCGGTGAGTACGGCTAGTATTCTAATAAGAACACTATTTAGCACTAGTATCAATAAGACATTCGAAAAAATATATCGCGCCCAAAAAAAATCCCTTATCGGTTTTGTTGACAATTTATCTGATTGTTACAGGAACTGTTGGAAAAACGAATTAAGCAGCTCGAGGCTCAGCTGGAGGAAGAGAAGAGAAGAACACAGAAGGAACGGATGGCGGTCACGAAGCTACAGAACAAATTGATAAAGGTCAGTACAATATAAAGTATTCATAGGCAACCATTTCGCTGTGACGAACTATTGTGGAATACATGAATTGATTGATATTAACTCGCTACATCACTACTACGATCTGTATCAACAGCGTTCCCTTACCTACCAACAAAACTAATTCAATCAGGGTAACTTGAGCCAAGGTATTAAAATACCCAAGAATAAACCGCAAAAAATGTAATATGCCTTTTTTTTAAGTTTCCTTATTTTGGACACTTTAAATAATCCAAAAACTAAAAAAAATACATGGCACTTTTAAACTTTAATAAAAGCAAAAACTATACAAAAAAATCGCTTGGTTTGCTTGGAATTATATCCGCCACTTATATTCTGTTTTATAAATAAACAATAGCTTAACAAGAAGAAACCTGGCTCTGCACTCAAAAGAATAAGCAGCCCGTCACAAATAACAAACAATATTTTGCCATTAAAACAAAAGAATCGAAAACCTTTCAAAGGATTCGAAGGATGTCTTGAAATGATTGAATTTTTCGTTTGCTCTGGCACGAGGGGAGACTGGTAATTTTGAACGTTAAATATTACCTTGAGGATAGGAACAATTATATACAGTGTCTTCTGTCTTAATAGACATTGTGCTTGGATGTATTAAGGCGATGCGAAACACGCTGATTCAATGTTCCAAGTTTTATAAAAGAAAACGATGCATGATTTTGTAAAATAATTACAATTATTATTATTTCTGCATTCTTCTTTCTGGTTCAAAAATTTGGTCTAGATATGCCTGCCCGTTGCGTCCGAAATTCGCTGTTGAACTTTGCCAAAATACTCTGAGTTGTTGCTATTTTTGATGAAAAACAGATAAATATTAAATATAATTCCTTGGACTGGGTTTTTTAACAGTTTTCGAGGTTTCGGCATGGCTATACAACTATATTTTATAAGTAATCTAAAAATATGATTAAAACTATAGCGAATATTTGAATTGCGTATTATCCACTCTATATATTATTATATCTACTGCTGATGCGACTTACTCCTACGGCTCTAAGATGGGTACTGAAACTGTTTGAGAAAGCACGATAAATATGAACTTTTCCGAAAAATTGCGAAGAAAAATCTTTTCTCACTATATCTTTACCTTCGACTTTTTAACCAGTAGTTACGGGTATGCGATCCAGAGAGATTCAAGCGACTTTTCTTACTTCTCCACTCTTCACATCTTCTTTCTTTCCTATTACCCACTGCTAGGGTGTAGGGCTCGAATGAAATTCTTCCATTTGCATGGGTCTTATTTTATACCGAAACCCCGCCCTGATTTCTAAATCGAGTATTAGTGATAGGTCGATGTGAATCTGCTCTGGCTATTTGCGTTTTCTTACTTACTTCCGCTACCACGAAATCACGTGAGCGTTAATGAGCAATTGAGATTTCGATCTAATTGTAGTTTTTATTATTTATTAGCCATTAAAATTGTTATAGTTATAAATTCCAATAAACAGCACAAAAACCGTCAACACATTCGCCTAGAATACTTAAATAATTAGTGAGTTACCACTACACATTACACATGAGTAGTAGTGTGTATGAAACTTCGATTTGATTCAAGGGAGAGAAAAATAAAATCAATAAAATCGTTTGAGATTCTTTTGTTTTATTGTCTTCCCCTAAATGCTTGTTCGTATTACGAGGAACTTAAAAAATATATTCGAATCGATCTAATTATTCTCATGTTTCTCAAATGCGTTTACCTGCGTCAGTTAATTCCATTAAAACGAAGCATACACACAATTTATTTATGATTAATTCAAAAGCGTTGTAACCTACCCTTAACACGTCACGCGTCAATATTTGGCTTCTATTAATTAAAAGCTCTCCCCTACAGACTGTACCGTTGCAGGAATCTGTTACCTTTGACATATAACACAGAACTGCAGAGGTGAAATCTAAACAGTTAGTCGTAGAAATTTATGACACAAAATAGTGACTTTTGTTTTGAAGTGTAAGAGAGTTTATATCTACAAGAGTAATGGTAGTAGAGAGTAAGAGACAAGACCCTAATTGTTCAATAGATTTGTGAAAAATAATCACATTTAAACTAAATTTTAATAAAGCTAGTCATATACATGACGGTTCTTTATATTCCAATGTTTAACAATAATAATGTTGTTGTTCTTGTTGCAAAGGTTAACTGTAATAACGTTGGTACAGAGATTTCGGTTTTCTTATTATTTCCAATTAATTAAAACGCTAGGCATCACCCAAAGGGGACATATTATGTCAATAAGTGTTTAAATGGATTGTAATTTGCACAACTACTAGTTCTGAATATAGGAGCTATCCCTTCGATAGCCAATAAAAATCTATTTAAAAACATGAAATTACAGCTAAAGATATGCGACGTGTCTCTTCTACACCTAATTCACTATTCTGTTCAGTCTGTCGAGGTTCAATTAAACAGGTATCCGAGTTATTCTGAAATGATTTTTTGCATTGTTCAGCATTCATCCACCCCTTTTCTGTTAAATTGTAAAATTTGCTCTTAATTTCCTTTGTTTGTGTTGTTTTTTATCTTTAACGTGAAACTTAAGTATAGGTACAGGTGTCTGCTACACATTATATTTTAATTCGGTTCAAAAACAACTCTGTTCGTTTGAAATAGAAATGGAGTGTGCAGGGTATATTGAAACATGTTTTATCCATTAAATCAACTTAATTATAAGACCTCATTAGGTATGCTTCTAAGTTTTAATCGCGCTTTTGTCTTTTCCACAATACTTTGGTTTTTTATTTGTCGGCGTTTCGTTAATATCAATGAAACGTAAATGTCAATAAAATATATTTCTAAAGAAAACTAGACGATAGTTAATCAAATATTTAAAAAAATGTTAATACTGCGAAAAATGTCCCCTCCGCTAGTGGGCCAGCCTTTGGTGTTGGTCTACTTCTTTTGTTCTCAATGTCATGTATTCACGTGCTTTGATTTTTTTTATTACTTACATGGGTACGAGTTACATGGTGGACGAGCTCACGGCCCACCTGATTATAAGTGGTTATGGGAGCCCATAGACGTCTGCAACGTAAATGCCGCCACCCACCTTGAGACATGAGTTCTAAGGTCTCACTTGTAACAGTACAACGGCTGCCCCGCCCTTCAAACCGAAACGCATTACTGCTTCACGGCAGAAATAGGCAGGGTAGTGGTACCCACCCGTGCGGAGTCACAAGACGTCCTACCATCAGTAAAAAAAGTTGTTGCTGAATTCATAAATTTACAGGTCCACGCGCAATCATTGTCGATGTTAATTCGTTATTTCGCAAGGGAGAGCGTGGCCGTCTGATTACCTCGGCGCGAATCTGAGGGTACTTTTGTATTTCATTTCACAGACGCCACTCGATTATGATTGAGCGCATCTAGGGTTTTATTCCTGTGGGTCATGAATGTTGCTTGTTGCAGGCTGTTTTTACTTTGTGATTTGTAACTTTGTGACTGTGTGATTGTAAGTGTAATTTATATGTTGATTACAGTTGGAATGCTTATAATCCGGTTGATACTGAAAAGATCTGTTTATGTAATTGCGATTTGGCTACTATGGTTTGACTACTTCTGAAGTCGTCGTGGCCTAACGGATAAGACGTCCGGTGCATTCGTGTTGAGCGATGCACCGGTGTTCGAATCTCAGGCGGGTACCAATTTTTCTAATGAAATAAGTACTCAACAAATGTTCATGATTGATTTCCACGGTGAAGGAATAACATCGTGTAATAAAAATAACACCCGCAAAATTATAATTTGCGTAATTACTGGTCGTAAGACCTCTTGTGAGTCCGCGCGGGTGGGTACCACCACTCTACCTATTTCTGCCATGAAGCAGTAATGCGTTTCGGTTTGAAGGGTGGGGCAGCCGTTGTAACTATACGTGAGACCTTAGAACTTATATCTCAAGGTGGGTGGCGCATTTATGTTATCGATGTCTATGGGCTCCAGGAACCACTTAACACCAGGTGGGCTGTGAGCTCGTCCACTCATCTAAGAAATAAAAATAAAAACTGCTATGATTTCTATTATTATGATTTTGGCTATGATTTGATTAGATACTATAACTATGATTTTGATTCGGTTTGACTACTATGGTGTAGTTAGCGGTGGTAGGACGTCTTGTGAGTCCACACGGGTAGGTACCACTCTGCCTATTTCTGCAGTGAAACAGTAATACGTTTCGGTTTAAAGGGTGGGGCAGCCGTTGTACTGTACTGAGACCTCATATCTCAAAGTGAGTGGTGGCATTTACTTTGTATATGTTTATGGGTTCCGGTAACCATTTAACACCAGGTGGCCGTGAGCTCGTCCACCCATCTAAACAATACCAATAACAAATAATATTATAGACAAACATTAATAATTAATCTATTCTCAATTTGACCACAGACTTTAAACAATAACAAAAGTTTGACAATAAACAAAGAGTATAATAATATGTGTTGTGTCAAATACATGGTATATAGGTATTATGTGTAATGTTTTTTTTATTGATTTAATGCATTTATATGCATAATTAAAAAAAAATATATGCTGCACTCCTTCTCTATATTTTGTATAAGTGTGTGAAATTTCATACTCCTTCGTCTGCGCAATTTGCGTAAAAAGGGATTCAAAGTTTTTCTTCACGTATTAATATTCTTCAAGAACTCGGCACTAAGCAGCGTCTTTCGGCGCTCGTGAATAAGCGCATACTATCATTTTTTTGACATGTCTCCCGGCGAGGACATGACTCCATAAAACGCCTTGTCGTCCAGGGCAAAGTAGAAGGCACCAGACCGCGTGGAGGGTGCCCATGCGATGGACCGACCAGATCAAGTCGGCAGTTGGCGGCTGTTTGGCTCGTGAGGCGCATAACATCTGCCCACAGCAATGATACTGAATGACGACCACGACCGCTCTGATAAGAGTGATATTTTTTATTTTTATTGCCTTTGTTGGCCGACGAGCGTACGGCCCACCGATACGATAAACGAGA